ATCAATAGAAACAAAAACTGTCTACTAATAAAAAGTTTGATAAATAGTAATAACAACAACAACACAACGACAACGACAACAACAACAACAACAACAATAATAATAATAATGATAATAACAAATTAAAATGATAATTTCTGTCAAAAAATGCGAAGGTGTGAGCTAATTAATTACATTTTTAGCGAGTTATCACGGGAAATCGGATACGAAAACTGCTAGTGAACAAACAAATTTAAAGGATGAACCAACAAAATTAAAGGATGAACCAACTAAATTAAAGGGTTTGTATGTTTAAATATAATTATCAAACCACGCACAGAAACCCACACACAAACAAACACACACACACAAACATACACACTCACTTACACACTCACAGTCACACAGCACATACATACGCATAATAATAGCAATAACAATTATTATTATTAATTATTACTGCTATTATTATTGTTATTATTATTTATTTTAAGATGACAGCGTACCCAGCGAAACGAGTATTTCGTATTATTTCATATAATTTTTTTCAACTTAGCCGTGCGTTTTCTTAGTTTTATTATTCTCATATATATTTATATTTATTATTAATTTTGTTATTATTATTATTATTATTGTTTTTTTTTATTATTATTTTTTTTTTACGTAGATTCGTCAGGGTCCTTAGCGGAATATTTGAAACTTAGTAATATGATAATAATTCATGACATACTTTTTTTAATAATAATAATATTATTATTATTAATAATAATAGTAATAATAACAATATTAATATTAATAATGATAATAATAATAATGATAATAATAATGATAATAATAATGATAATAATAATGATAATAATAATAAATTTAATAATATTGATAATGATAATACTAATAATAATAATAATTATTATTATTTTCTTTAGTTGCCATGAAAGCAAGAGCAATAGCGGAAGCCGGCAAAAATACCGACAAGAATGGTTATTATTATTATTAATTAATTAAATAATTATTAATTACACAAAGTGTGTAATTAATTCATCGCGCAGATAGGAACAATACCTGAACAGTTTTTATGTCATCTTTTATCATCCTTGTAATTGTATTCGTATGTAACTGATGAGCATGGATGACTGATGACTATAAACATTTTGTATATTTATGATAAATGATTTTATATTTTGAGGTTTGATGATAACAAAAAAAGTTCCCATTAATATTATTATTATTATCATTATCATTCGGTGTTGTTGTTATTCTTCTTAACGTGTACAAATGTGTAGAAATGACGTCATCGTTAGAATCGTTAGCGTTAGAACGGCGGTAACTGCACTCTCGAACTCAGTCACTCAGCTATGACGCACACACACGCGCACACGCATACACACACAGACAAACAAACACACACACACATATATTTTAGACGAATTAAAAAATTTTTTATCCGTATTCTAAATTGCAATGTTAACTTTACAAAAGAGTCAGAAAGACCAGATACTTTCGAGAAGGAGCCTGATAAGAAAAGTTATTATTATTGTTATTATTATTATTGTTGTTGTTATTGTTGTTGTTGTTATTGTTAATGGCAATGGGACATCAGATTGTTACGTATTTGTCTCTTTGGAAGTGGAAAATGTTAGCCCAATGTCGCAGTTGTTCAACATGCTACGACCCGATTTTGCCATTCTACACTACAACCAAATTGAAGTTTTACAACTGACGATATGCCACGAAACTAAACCTTCCTTCACACAGACAGACACGCGTCAGAGAAATACAAAAACCTGATATCTTATTAAAGCAACGATTAAGCCGACTGTTCTGTAATTGGCAATTCGTTTGAAATTTCATTAATTTGTCTTTACATCAACTTTGATTTTTCTTTATCTACAATATTTTGATCGATTTCTCTAGATGAAATATTAACTAATACTTTGAGAGAAACGCTGCAAAAATGCTACATTTTAAATATTTCCTATACTCCCTATAATGCACTTGTCATCTGCTGAACACCAGAGGATCGTACAGAATAATTTTCACTTTCTGATTTTTGATTATGTGTAATTGCGACTGATTAATTAATTAATTAATTTATTTATTTGTGTTTTTTTTTGTACGCAAGCATCTGAAAAAAGGCCTTCGGTAAATTCCTCATGATGATGAATGATGATGGTGAGGGTGATGATGATGATGGTGGAGGTGATAATGATGATGACTGTGATAATAATAATAATAATAATAATAATAATAATAATAATAATAATAATAGTAATAGCAATGATAACGTAAATTATTTAACTCGAGCTAGGCGCAGTTAGACCAAAGGCGAAGAAAAATAAGAATGCTAAAACCGGTAATTTGGAATCAATCAATCAATCAATCAATCAATCAATCAATCAATCAATCAATCAATCAATCAATCAATCAATCAATCAATCAATCAATCAATCAATCAATCAATCAATCAATCAATCAATCAATCAATCAATCAATCAATCAATCAATCAATCAATCAATCAATCAATCAATCAATCAACCGATCGACCGATCGACCGATCGACCGACCGACCGACCGATCGATCGATTGAAATAAAAATTTAAATTAAATTATCAGGCAAAAAGAAGACATCTCTTAAAGGTCAATTTAACACGCGCGCGCACACACACGCACGCACACACGCATACACACAAACAAACACACACAAACAATCAAACAAACACTCATTTTAACCTCCAGGAAAAAGGAAAAAGAAAGTTGGCCTGATAACATCAAAAAATTTAACCAAAATTATTATCCAAAATTATTATTTTTTAAATTTTATTATTATTATTATTATTGCGATAATTATTATTATTATTATTACTAATAGTAGTGGTGATAGTAGTAGTATTGGTAGTAGTAGTAGTAGTAGTAGTAGCGGTAGTAGTAGTAGTAGTAGTGGTATTAGTGGTGGTGATGGTAGTAGTAGTAGTAGTAGTAGTGGTGGTGGTAGTAGTAGTAGTAGTAGTAGTAGTAGTAGTAGTAGTAGTAGTAGTAGTAGTAGTAGTAGTAGTAGTAGTGGTGGTGGTGGTACACAATGTATAATGATTTTACAATTTATTAATTTCAGAGCTCTACTGCTAGTAGCTCTAGTGGAAAGAAAAGTAAGAATAAATAATAATAATAAATAATAATAATAAATTAATAATAATAATAATAATAAATATAATAACAATGATAGCCACAAGAAATTTGAACAGCTTGAACGTTTGAACATGGTCATTTGAATTAATGATAGTAATAATAATAATAATAATAACAAATATAATAATAATAATCATTATAATAACCATAATAATAATAAAAAAAACAACAACAACAATAATAATAATAGTAATAATAATAATACTGAAACTTTTCTTCTTCAAATCAGAGAAGAAATCCAAATGAGGGAATTTTCCCACCAATTCCGTTCATCAGCACCATCCTCTACCTACCGACTGACTGACTGACTTTTATAGCTAACATAAACATCGCGCTATAATAAAAAATTATGACATATTTATTAATTATGCCATATTTATTTTGTTACATTAACCAATTAATTAATCAATTATCATTGAGTGGTAGTTATTTTATGATTAAAGCTTTAATATAATTGAACGCACATTTTTTTGACGATAAAAATTTGTTTATTTACTTAAAATATATTACATATATATTTACAATATTTTATAAATTCTACCGAATGTTTGGCGTTAATATGTTTGTAGTTCGTTTTTTCAATTTTTTCTCACTAAAGTTTTTGGTGAACGTTTAGTTTATTAAAATTCAAAATAAACTTATTTTCCGAATTCATGCTGCAAATAAGGCCGTATTTCGATTCCGAATGAATCATCATCAGTGCTTTCTGCTGTTTATATAGGGAAATATTGACTTTGTCAAAATGAACATAGATGGAGATTGACTATATATACGTTAATTCAGTTGGTGCTAAATAATACTTGATTGATCTGTATTAGCTCCTCCCCCTTTGAATAATCATTTAAAATAATGTTCTCATGTCAGTTGTCGGTCGTATGCTGGTTAGGTAGGTTAGATTATTATTATTATTATTGTTGTTATTATTATTTTTGGTATTATTTATTATTATTATTAGATTTGTGAATCAATTTTTATGATTTTGAATCTGGATTTTGGGTACATTGTTCGTTTGTTAGTTATTTCATTTACATATAAATGGGTTTGTAGTGTGGCCGTCCGTCGTGTGGCGTGTGATGTGGCTGTCGGTGGTGTGGCTGTCGGTCGTTAGACATGAATGTACACAGTTGTTGTGATATAAATTTAAAAAGGAAAATCATTCGTATCCACGCGTGTAAGTTGAAATAGGGGTTTTGAGGTAAGCAAGAATCTATCATTAAGCAAGAATCTATCAGCAAGCAAACTCTGTCTGTCGTTGTGTTTGTTGTGGAATTCAGAAGTATAAAAAGCTAATCATCGTAAAATAAATTTGTTTCTATTGAATGAATCGTTCACACATATTAACAAAGAATTATCTTATCAACCAACCAACCAACCAATCAATCATAATCAGCCAACCAACCAACCAACCAACCATCCAACCAACCATCCAACCAACCAACCATCCAACCAACCAACCAACCAACCAACCAACCAACCAACCAACCATCCAACCAACCAACCATCCAACCAATCAACCAACCAGTCAACCAGCCAACCATCCAACCAACCAACCATCCAACCAACCATCCAACCATCCAACCAACCAACCATCCAACCAACCAACCAATCATCCAACCAACCAACCAACCAACCATCCAACCAACCATCCAACCAACCAACCATCCAACCAACCAACCAACCAACCAACCAACCAACCAACCAACCAACCAACCAACCAACCATCCAACCAACCAACCAACCAACCAACCAACCAACCATCCAACCAACCAACCAACCAACCAACAAACCAAAAACAGCTTTCACCACCATCACCAAAGCCGATAAATTTGGAGTGACAATGAGGAGCAGCAACAACACGCTAAACTTGCACATCCTACCGAAATTCACGGCCATCACCTTCTACGCCAGCGATAATGAATGTGAAAAGTCTTGTACGTACGAACCAAACGATTTATCTTACACCACCATCAGACTCAGTCCGAACAACACCGGCTCCTACGAATGCAAGTGTGGCAACGTCAAGTTATATAATATCTTTGGCTACATAGGTTAGGGGTTGTTTTTCTATCTCTTATTTTTCATTTATTTTGGGGTTTTATCATCCTCCTATCACCTCAATCATCGTCATTGTCATCTTTTTATCATTGCAGTTGTGGCCACTATCATCATCATCACCACCACCACCACCATCGTCGTCGTCGTCGTCATCGTCTTCTTTATTGCAACCGCTGTCATTATTGCGGTCATCATCACTGAAGTACAGCATCACCACCTTCTTAGCCAACATCACAACCAACGTTAAATTAATTTTAAACTTCAATCGACCACCACACGACCACCACACCACACGACCTCCACACGACCACCCCACTACCACCACCACCACCCATTAAAAAGATGACCTAGTGTTTGGCTACTCGGCTGAGGGGCAAATGGTCCGGTGTTCATTTGATCTCTTCCTCGAGGCCAACTGGATAGAAGCTGAGATCAGGATAACTGAAGAGGCTTACGTAGAGGTAGAAAAAGATGAACACAGTCTATACACCCCCTTTTTCCTCACTCAGACTCTCCTAGAATGGTCGCAAGAGAAGGTAGCCAACGCTGTATGCACGTGGAAGTTCACAGTCTCAAGGGACGCCATCCAAGTCGTCTACTCCGACAACACCAAAGTTACCATTGACGATCTCGAAAGTGAGATTTGGCGAGTTTTTTTTTCTAGTGGCTGGCAGTTTGGTTAAATGTTTTTTCTCTATTGGAGAATTTTGCATTTTGCATTTCGGGGAATTTCGACACTAAACTTTTGGGGTGATGGTTTTGTGGTTGTGGCTTTTGGCCCTTTTTAAGTATTTGAAAAATAATTAGAAAAAAAGATTAGCCATTGCAAAATTAGTTGGGTAATGATTGAATAAAATATATCTATATAAGTGTGTGTATGCGTTGTATGCGTGTGTGTGTGTGATTGTGTGTGCGTCTGTGTGTGTGTGTGTGTGATGGGATGATATTAAAGGTGTTGATTGAAACACAACAAATGTGTTGTAAGAGTTGCCAGAGAAAACCACCATTCCTGTTGACCAGCCCAGCTCGAAGAAATACTCCAACACCCACCTTGGGCTGACCTTTGTCGCGCTGTTCTCACTCATCGTTTTGGTAATTGTAGCCGCCAGGAGTTTCAAAAGTTTTAGAGAGAAAAAAAGTAAATTATTGTTGCTTTTTATTCATTCATTCGTTCATTCGTTCGTTCGTTCATTCGTTCGTTCGTTCGTTCATTTGTTCGTTCGTTCGTTCGTTCTTTCATTCATTCATCCATTCGTTCGTTCGTTTGTTCATTCGTTCGTTTTTTTATCAATTTAATTCACTCCACACGTATAGTTGTGGCCATGAGGAATAAAGAAGTAGAAGGTGGGCGAAAACAAAATAATGATGATGGTGATGCTAATGCTGCTATTACTACTGCTACTACTACTACTGCTGCTGCTACTACTACTGCTGCTACTACTGCTGCTACTACTGCTGCTACTGATGACGATGATGATTATGATAATGATGTTTATTACAATACGAATGATAACAAAAATATCAGTCATCTTTTCATTTTGAAATTCTCTTCTCAACTTAAAAGTGGACTAAAATATGTGTGAAACATTTTTTCCAATGCAGAAGCCGAAAAGGCTTATAGTAAGAAGTTTCCTCTATTTAGACGTACACTCATACTCATACATACACACTCATACACGCACACGCACACACACACGCAAACAAATTCACACAACGTACACACACACAAACACATAACACACAAAAATTTCAATAAAATTATCCTAATTTATTTACATATCGTTATTATAAAATTCAATTTATGAAATAAATCATTTAAGTTACAAAGAAAAAATCGCTGTCAAGTGAAGAGAGCTCAATAGCTACATTGGGTTAATAATAATAATAATAATAATAATAATAATAATAATAATAATAATAAAAACAATAATAGATAGAATAATAATAGATGAAAACACATTTTAGATGAGAAGGATAAACCTACAAAAGGTAAATGAAAGGATGAATGAATGGATGAATGAATGAATGAATGAATGAATGAATGAATGAATGAGTGAATGGATGAATGATTATATATATATATATATATATATATATATATATATATATATATTATAAACTAAAATTCTAAAAAATGAACAGTCGACAAGGTATCAAAAAGAGATGGAAAAGGTGATTTTACATTTGATGAGAACTCTTTAATTTTCAAAGCCAGGGCCACAAATGATTGAAGCAATGAAATGGTGAAAAAAAATGAAATGTCACTAAATGAAAAACCGCTATGGTCATTTCAAAAGAATAAGCACAGAGCGGTGAAGTGTATTCATATTTTTATCATAAATTGTTCCTGTCACAATAAATAAATACCTTATGGATAACCTCATAACGGTCTCTATCAAATTATCATTAAATAAAACCGGCCGCATAATTTTAAACAATGAAAGATTAAAGTTGTTATAAAAACCAATTGGCGAAATTTCGAAAGTATTTATAATTATTGAGTAGTGTTTGGAACTGTCATTAAAATAGCTATGCAAATTATCGGAATATCTAATTTTCGTATATCGTCTGGAGGATTTCAGCTTGCTTTCATGACACATCGTCAACTCCAGAATCTCGACTGTGTCACCTCGCAGTATGGCGATGTCGGGACGTAGGGTTAGGAACGGATCTGATATTAGGTGAACATCGTCATATTTCAAATCCTCAAATAGCCCATACTTTCAACCGGTTGGTGATCGAGATCAAAATCCTCTTTGTGCCTTTCGGTGTATCAAGCTAGAGAGCGGATGGAACCACAGTTAGAAACCACATGCTTATTTGTCTATCGAGAGCCACAGAGAGGACATAGAAGGCTTGGTGTTTTGCCCCATCTAAACAAATTAGCGTTTGTTGGCAGTTGCTGAACTAAATATTTCTTAACAAATTTTAAGAGGGCTTAGCAAGATTTTTCGTAGTTTTTAACCAACGAAAGATGTTGCTAGCTTTAATGACGGTTTTTTGTTTTGGGAATAATCGTGCCCTGGCTTTCCAGCAAATATTTAATAATAATAATAATAATAATAATAATATTATTATTATTATTATCGTTATTATAATTATTATAGTTATTATTTTATTCCTAAATCCATTTTACTAATTTGTATATAAAAATATTTACCCAATTATTTATTTAAAATCACTACCTCCATCTAGACAAACAAAGCCTGGACAAAAGTAAATAGTAATAATAATAATAATAATGGTAATAATAATAATAATAATAATAATAATAATAATAATATAATTATTATAGTTATTATTTTATTCCTAAATCAATTTTACTAATTTGTATATAAAAATATTTACCCAATTATTTATTTAAAATCACTACCTCCATCTAGACAAACAAAGCCTGGACAAAAGTAAATAGTAATAATAATAATGATACGGATAATATTATTATTATTATTATAGTTATTATTTTATTCCTAAATCAAAATATTTTTAAAAATTTGTATACAAAAATATTCACCCAATTATTTATTTAAAACCACTACCTCCACCTAGACAAACAAAGCCTGGACAAAAGTAAATAGTAATAATAATAATAATAATGGGAACACTGCTTTTATTTTACCAAATATCACAAAATGAATATAAAGATAGATATAAAATAATGTTTAATATAATAAAGTATTTAAATTAAAAAGCTGTTAGTATAATTTGCTCATCACTCGACAAAAATGAGTACAAATAGAGGATTATAGCCAATAAAAATAAGGTTCATACATTATTCCTATCGCAATATAATAATATATTGAGTAAGATGATGATAACACAGGGTTTATTAAATTGTTTCTAAAATCGTTCGACCAAATTAAGTTGACCAGCGATAAATTAAAAGTATTGTGAAAACCAATTGTATAAACCCATAATAACAATGATAATAATAATAATTATAATTATTAATAATAATAATAATAATTACTATTACAGGATTATCGCCTCTAAAAGTCGACAAAAGTATTGGATGGATTTTAATTCATTAACATACATTAAAATATTCTACATTTCACGCACACACACAAAAAAACAGACAGACGCATACACAAGCATACACACACATGTACACACACATATATTTATTTATATATAATTATTTTATATTTATTCAAATATAGAAAAAACTGATGCTAAAAGTCGGTTATTGAATTCTTTGGAAGTTTTGAAAAAATGTATTTTGTCTACCATTGTATTATAAAATTAAAATGATGATAATTATGATTATAATTATAACTTTAATTAATAATTAAAACTATAATTAAAATTATGTTAATATTTTATATTATTAATGTGATTGATTCCAGGGAAACCGGGTCATACTGACGACAAAAGTTTGTTCGTTTATTTAAAAAACCCTACTTTTGAATGATTGATTGATTGATGAATGAATGAATAAATGAATGAATGAATGATTGATTAAATGATTGGTTAATTGATTAATTAATTCTTCCCAACAGAAGCAAAAACAAAACAACACAGATCCAGCCATCCGAATGGCAGGGACGATCACGATGGCTAGGCCGCCGGCGTTCCATACTACCACTACTACTACTACTACTACTACTACTACTACTACTACTACTACTACTACTACTACTACTACTACTACTACTACTACTACTATTACTACTACTACTACTACTACTACTACTACTACTACTACTACTACTACTACTACTACTACTATTACTACTACTACTACTACTACTACTACTACTACTACTACTACTATTACTACTACTACTACCACTACTACTAGCAATAATAGTATTTATAATAACGGTCAAAATGAAGATAAATGTTAATATTTTTTCAAATTTGAATTTTGTCAATTTCTCAAATAAAATTAATTCAATGAATTTGCTGTTGATTAATGTATTGTCGATGTTGTTGTTTGGTGTTGTACGTTGTTTGGTGTTGTATTATTAATGTCTCTTGCTGATGATGGGGCTGTTTTTTTATTGTAATGTTGTTGTTGATGTTGTTGCGCTGTTGCTATTGCAGTTGTTGTGTACTTTGATTCTCTAACTGTGATTTGATGCTGTTTTTGTGATGTATTGCGATGTTGTTGTTGTTGTTGATGATGTTTTTGTTGTTGTTGTTGTTGATGTTGTTGTTGTTGATGTGATGGTTCTCTATACGGAAGGAACCTGTCATAAAAGCAACGCCAGCGATAGGGTTAAAAGAGGATTTAATCGAAGCAGTTAATTAAAGAAGCCATGCATGCACGTACGCTTGTTTGTACATGCGTCTGTGTGTTTGTCTGTGTGTGTCTGTATAAATGTCTACATCTTCAACTTTGTATCATAACTTTGTATCAATTTTCAACCAATGTTCATATTTACACACTCCCTTACCAATGCATACGTACATTTATACAAACACCAACACACACATACAAAAATATGTACAAACATCTACACATATACAAACATCCACACACATACAAACATCCACACACATACAAACATCCACACACATACAAACATCCACACACATACAAACATACATACAAACATACACACAAACACAAACAAACGTACGTACAAACATCTACACATATACAAACATACATACATACACACAAACATCCTCACACATACATAGGTATGAGAGCGTTTAATGAGAGTATAAATGCATTTTAATATGCTGTAGAACAATGCGGAGCCATAAAAATAATGAGAAAAAAAATTTTTTTTGAAGGCACAAACACTTGCACACATACTCACACACACACACCACACACACACACACACACACACACGTACGTACATATATACATGCACACATACATTCATACATGCACACACATATACAAACATAGATAATCCATCCATAAATCTGTCCGATCCATCCATCGATCCATTCGTTCAGAAATTTATTTGTGAGACCATGCAAGCATTTATCAATTCATTCGTTTCGATATTCTTGTAAATTCATCTTAGATTTATACCTTTTATTTGTTTAATCATTCGTTCATTTATTCATTTATTTATTTATTTATTTATTCATTCATTCACTCATTCGTTCGTTCGTTCGTTCGTTCATTCATTCATTCATTCACTCATTCATTCATTCATTCCGTCATTCAGCCGTCAATTCTCCCGGCTGTCATTCATCCATCCAACTAACCGTTTTTTTCTTTCAATCCATCAACGTATCCATCATTCAAATTAGTTTATCCGACCGTAAATAACAGAGACTTTAACCTTCGACTCACCCACTCACCCACCCACTCCCGCTCGTTTCATCCCATTCCCGCACATCCCTAGAAATCCGCCATTTTCTGATTGCGTCACGTGCCTTCACATCTCGTTAACTTCCGGCTATTAACGAGTTCATCGCTCTGGCATTGTGTTCATACGTTTGTTCCTTGTTCACCATCCGTTTCAGACGTTCATTCGTGCGCGAACAAACGTTTATTTACAAATGTTTGTGTGTGTGTATGTGTGTGTATGTGTATGCGTGTGTGTGTGTATGTGCGAACGTGTGTGTGCCCGCGCGTGTATGTCAAATTTTTTGTATGTTAGCATGCGCGAATGTATGTATGTGAATGCGTGAGTGTGTAGTGTTTCAAGTACCCTGTCTACAAAAAATGAATGTGTGTTGGTGTGTTTGTGTGGGTGGGTGGTTATGTGGGGGTAGTTTTCCGGCTAATAATTCACTCATTCATTCAACCATCCATCTCCCCGTCCGTCCGTTAATTTCATTATTTTTTTGATTAAGTAAACGAGTCGGCGATTAATTTGATGGGAGCAGAAAATTTTAAGTTAGACGTGTGTGCACGTGTGAGAGACTGAATGATTGAATGAATGAATGAAAGAATGAACGAACGAACAAACGAACGAACGAACGAATGAATGAATGAATAAATGAATGAATGAATAAATGAATTAATTGATTAGTGAGTGAGTGAGTGAATGAATGAGTGAATGAATGAGTGAATGAATGAATGAATAAATGAATGAATGACTGAATGAATGAATGAATGAATAAATAAATGAATAATGAATGAATGAATGAATGAATGAATGAATGAATGAATGAATGAATGAATGAATGAATGAATGAATGAATGAATGAATGAATGAATGAATGAATGAATGAATGAACGTAAAGCAGTCAATCCATATGCCAAATTTGCTTCTTTTATAGCCACAAATTATTTTTCGTATTCTAAAAAACA